TATGGAAGAAATCTACCAACAGTTTTGCATACACTTTTGGCTTTCTATTAAGGACACATACATGGCAATATCCAAAACATATACTACTCCTACTTAAGCATACAAAACAATATTATAAGAATATATGTATGTATATGAGCCACTAAGGATTTGACATTATTTGCATTTAGCAAATGTAAATTCAGCAAAAAATATGCTCCTAATGTTATGTTGATTCCCTTTGCTCTATGCTCTCCTCTCTTTGAAAAGTTTTGGCATAGAAAATTACACACACACACACACACATGTGCACATAAACCCCATAAATATTAATTGGAAATAATTTCATTTTCTGGATGTTGGGAAGTTTGTAAGCCAGATTTGTAAGGACTTACTCTTACTCATTCCCTCTCTTGCTCTCCCTTGATGCATTAGCCAATATATTGCTTTTAATCTATGACTTTATTTTTGTTAAGTAAGTAATTTGTTATTGCTGGCTGGCGGTGTCTGTGTGTGCGTGTGTATCGATGCTCTAATTAAATGGATCAATACCTGTGGCTGCCTTAATGGCCCTCTCATTAAAGTTTTCTCTGTGTTTTTAATATCAAGATATCCAGCTGTTCGTTCGTAGTTCGTGCTTCTTCTTATTTGTCTTGAACTAATACTGGCTGCTGTTCTCAGTTCATTCTTCATTTATTAAGTTTTTAACCCCTTTTTTGTTGAACTATAAATGAGTTTAATGAGGATTTTAGTTTAATACTTCTTGTTGTTGTTCTCTTCTTCTTGATGGATATTCTATAATAAATATCAAGGTAATTTCTTAGGTGTATGTGTTTCCTGTTTTTGCAATAACAAATTTGTTTTAATTACTAAACAATTTATTAAATGGGGAAAATTTTGTGTGAATATTTAGATGGGGATTTAATGAGAAAATATTTCAAATGAGATTTTGTGAATAAATTAATAATAGGTTTGGAACAAATCTATTGATATAGTCACCCAGGACGATCAGCTGTATCTCAAATTTGCTGAAAAAATCAATTATCGTGAATTGATTTCACATTTTATATTATAAAGAAAAAATTGTTATCGTAGTAAAAAATAGTATATTCATGTAGTACGGGAATAGACCATAAATAGCAAGAGCTATTAAAAAGTTTATACAGGGTGACCAGCCGGATATCAGCTGTTTCTCAAGTTGGCTGTCAAAATCCACTATTGTGAATTGACTTCCACTATGAAAACGTAAACAAGTCCACATTTTTGACATTAAACTTGAGATAAAATAGCTGACTTTGGGTTGCTGGGTGACGTTATTAATAGATCTTGTTAAAAAACTTCAAATTGTTGGTATTCAACTTGAGAAAAACAGCTGTTTATGCTTCTTGGGCAATCTTATTAATAGGCCTTGAAGTTTGGTATTAAAATGTACATTAGGTGAGTTGTGATAAGTTAATAATTTGTACAAATTCTCCAGTAAATAAGAACAAGTCGAGAAAGTAAATTAGAAAAAAGCAAGGCCTATTTATAAGGTAAACCTGGTAGCATTTAATTTCATAATAATGTATTTTGATAATCAGCTAATCATCCTGGGCGAACTTATTGATACGTCTTGGAGAGCTGTGTTACTGGGAAATTAAAGAAAAATTTTGATCTGTACAAGACCTATTTATAAAATAACTCTGGAAGCGAAAAAAACACTGTTTGTCTCAAGTTTAATGTCAATTCACAATAATGAATTTTGAGAAGCAGCAGATTTTCCTAGACGACCGTATTTATTCGCCTTGGATAGTTGTGTCAATGAAAAATTTAAAAATTTGCGCCGTACTGGGGCTTTTTTAATGATCTTCCAGGAAGCGAAAGACAGCTGTTTCCATTGCCCAATATTTCAACGTTATTTACGTTTTCATAATGTGAAGTCAATTCACAATAATGGATTTTAACAATTAACTTGAGAGACAGCTAATCTTCGTGGGTGACCTTATTAAAGAGCCTTGGAAAGTTCAAAAAATTACCCCGTAACAATTTCAATCAGCTGATTTATTCTGAGGATTGTGTATTTATTTGGATTATTAAAATAACAATTCTAAATAAAATATTGAACAAGGTCAATAAGGTCATTCTGAAATATCAGCTGCTTTTCTAGTTTGCTGTCAAAATCCATTCACAATCCATTGACTTGACATTATGAAAACGCTAGATCTTTTAATACGTTCACCCAGCAAGCAAAAGTCAGCTGTTTTTCTCAAGTCTAATGTCGTAATGACTTTGTTTACGTTTTCATAATGTGAAGTTTATTCACAATAATGGTTATTGACAGCAAAATTGAGAAGCAGCTGATATCCAGCTAAACTTGAGAAATAAAAACTGATGGCTATCGTTTTCTGGGTGACCTTGATAATAGGTCTTGATATAGAAGAAATGATTGATAGAGCGAGCATAGGTGACAAATCACCGATTCTTTGTCATTTAAATTGACATTTCCTTTGTAAATATATGTCAAATAAATGTTAATGAAGTTAATTTTAATTTATTACTATAGCTTTGTTCCAGAACCTGCAAGAGTATACTATTTTTTTCAACTTCTCACTAACAAAGAAACTTTCTGTAGCTTAGCTGTCAAATTAATAATAATTATAAAAAAGAAATTTTCTATTTTCATATTTTCCCACACATGTCGCTTCAAACAAAATCCCTAATGTGCTGAAAACATAAAAAAAACTTTTCACCACTACTACGACTACTCGTACATCATATATGTATGGATTCATTAGCCTGTCAGTGCTGTTGCGAACAGGATAAATGTGTTTCGTGTATTTAATTCCATTCATGTCAGAATCCTGTCGAAATGAATGCCAATGGATGTGAAAATACCTTTTGACGTCTGACAAAGACCACTTCAGTTCAGGGGGGGCTGCTTTTTTATACCCTCCACCATAGTATGGAGGGTATATTAGTTTTGTTTTTCCGTTTGTAACGCATCGAAATAATCATTTCCGACCCTATAAAGTATATATATTCTTGATCAGCGTAAAATTCTATGACGATCTAAGCATGTCCGTCTGTCCGTCTGTCCGTCTGTCTGTCTGTCCGTCTGTCTGTTGTAATCACTCTAGCGTCTAAACGAATTGAGATAGATCGCCAAAATTTTGCATAGAGTCGTCTTTTGTCTGCAGGCAGGTCAAGTTCGAAGATGGGCTTTATCGGTCCACGTTTAGGCATAGCTCCCATATAAGGGTACCCCCCAATTTTCGGTATTTTGAGGTTCTTGAGCGCGTTTTTCAACTGAATTCGCTCAAATTTGGTATATTGAGTTCGTATTGGGTAGCAAATCTTTCCACTGAAAATTATAAATATGGGTCCATATTTTCGGATAGCCCCCATATAAGGGTACCCCCCAATTTTCCGTATTTTGAGGTTCTTGAGCGCGTTTTTCAACTGAATTCGCTCAAAATTGGTATATTGAGTTCGTATTGGGTAGCAAATCTTTCCACTGAAAATTATAAATATGGGTCCATATTTTCGGATAGCCCCCATATAAGGGTACCCCCAATTTTGAGGTATTTTGGGGGGTTTGATCGCATTTTTCTACCGAATTCGCTGAAATTCGGTACTTTGAGTTCTTATTGGGTAGCAAATCTCTATACTAAAAATTATTAATATAGGTCAATTTTTTCGGGTAGCCCCCATATAAGGGTACCCCCCAATTTTCGGTATTTTAGGGTTCTTGAGCGCGGTTTTCAACCAAATTCGCTGAAATTTGGTACATTGGGTTCTTATGGGGTACCAAATCTCCCCACTAAAAATTATAAATATAGGTCCACTTTTTCCGGTAGCCCCCATATAAGAGTTCCCCCAATTTTCGCTATTTTGAGGTTCTTGAGCACGTTTTTCAACCGAATTCCCTGAAATTTGGTATTTTGTAGTCATATATGGTAACAAATTTCCCTACAAAAAATTATTAATATGCACCCCCTTTTTGGGGTAGTCCCCATATAACCCCCTTTTTTAATATTAAAATAGTTATCTGATTTGTTCCGCATTTTGAGTTTGGTTCTAAGACTCTTTTGTAATCATTTCACCTGCGGAGGATAGAGAGATAAAAAAATGAGAACGTAAGGTTCGATAATGAACTATATATGAACTAAAACCAGCATTTAGGCCTAGCTCCTGTGTGGGAGGTACCAGAAGGAGTGGACCAATATCCCCCAGCTTCGAATTTGAACTAAGCTTGGAAGAAATAATGAGATGGGCAAAGTTCGGATGAAATCTAAATTTTCTGAAACAAATTTGGTCCAAAGAAACATGGACCATGGACTAGAACCAATATTTCAATGAGACACATTTTCATCGTGTTAAAGTGTATACACCCTCATTAGCCATAAGGCTGAGGGTATAATTATCCTTTAAAAATTTCTAAAATTTTTATTATGGTTTACATAATCCGTTTTTAGAAATGTCGGTATAGGTCCACTTTTTGGTATGTTCCCTATATTTTCATTTATAGTACCTGTCAATATAACTATGGTGGAGGGTATCCAAAGTTCGGCCCGGCCGAACTTACCGCTTTTTCACTTGTTTGCTGTTGTTTTTGGTTATTATGTGTGTGTGAGGGTTTTTTCGGAGCTGTCGTGGTTATTTGATGGACAGGTTTCATGTTTTTTTGGTTTTGTTTTCAAAATGTCTGCAGTTTATTTCAAATATGACATGTTTTTTTCGGTTTGTGGTAAATTTTTTTGGTGTAATTAGCCAAGAATTCTGTATTTGCGGAACAAAAGGTTAATGTACCTACAATGTGTTAAAAAAAAATAAGGGAAAATATGTTACTTTAAATGTTTAACATTTTTTGGATAATGTTTTTTTATTAAGGATTATTGTACCCCTTGTAAACCTTCAGATTATATTTTGCCCCTCCAATTTTAAGTTACATTGACATCAATAAAAATCCCTATTAGCGTCACAATACCCCAACGCACACACACACAGAGAAATTAATGTTTTCTGATTTAATTACATTGCAGATGGATATAAATGATGGCGGAACAACATGTAAAAAGTCCATAACAACGAAGCAAACGGCAATGGCAACATCCATTAAAATGACAACAACAGCGGCAGCAGGAGCCGATGCCCCCCAAACCACAACAACGGCCAAAGGAGGTGGCGGTGGCAGCGGCAGACAGGACAATGGCAATCGGACAACAGTATCAACAAAAATACCACCAGCACCACCCACAAGATCGGCCACCACGACAACCACAACAAAAACATCATCGTCGAACAGCACAGCCACAAATACACTGAACCCAACAACACCGCGTATCGAATTGAGTCGTGCCTCATCATCGTCACATCATGAGGAAGATAGTCGCGATAGCAGTCCTGAAAATGTCTTTGAACAGGTGATTTATGTTGAAAGCAATAGACTTTTAGATATTTTTTGTGATAAAGACAAAAAAAAAAACGAAGAGAGGAGAGACAAAATACTAGCTCCTCTGACACCATTAACTCAACTCTTGATAGATAAACATTTTTTGAAAAGAGTTGTTTGTTATTTTTTTCAGTTTTTGTTGTTCTTGTCGTTGGTTTTTTTATTTTCTTTTAGTTGACTTTTGCCGTAACTGTCACTGTGTGTTAGTAGTTTAGTAAATGTTGTTGGCAAATCACAACACCGTTTACAGAGGAACTTCTCACGAGGTTATTTTATTTAAAAAGAAAACGAACACGCATACATTTTTTTCAATATTTTAAATTGTTGTTTCAATGTGAGAGGATTCACTGTATTTTTGTTCTTTGTGCTTGTTGTCGTTTTCATTTCAAAATATCCCAACAATGGAAGGTCTAAAAGACTCCTTTTTTTTTGAATTTTTCTTTTAAAGGGTTTACATTTTAAGAAATTAATTTCAAAATCAGAATAAATAAAAATAGAGTTTATAGTGGAGGTCTAATAGTCCGAAATTGTCCTAAAATAGTTTTTAAATTAATATGAAACGATCTGTGGATTTTTTCGGTTTAAAGGAAACTTTTTTGATTTTTTCGATCTATAGAAACCTATACATAACCGTGATTTACATTAGGCAATTTTACTTGTCTAAAACGGCATTTAGATTAGAACTTTTTGCCGGCTTAACCTTCTCTATAAGGATCAAGATCTATAAATAAGGTCACCCAAGTAGCAATCGAAATCGGAAAACAGCTGTTTTTTCTCAAGTCTAATGTCCAAAAATGTCGACTCTGTTTACGTTTTCTTTATGTAAGTCAATTCACAATAATTAATTTTGACAGCAAATTTGAGTGGCGCAGATATCCAGCTGGTCGTCCTGGGTAACCTTATGTATAGGCCATGATAAGGATTATTTGACATACTTTATACATTTTATAAATCCGGTACAATGTAAACGTACTATTAATTTGCAGTTTGCTGGTGGTCTATTAATGAAGTCGCCCAAAAAACAACACAGCTCAATGTTGAAAATGTTGACTTTATTTAATTTTTTTTTTTTTATTGTGAAGTCAATTCACAATAATGGACTTTGACAGCAAACTTGAGAACAGCTGATTTGCAGCTGATCTTCCCTGATGACCTTTGTATAGGCATTGCAAGCCTTCAACTAATTCGTATTAATAAGGTCACCAAGAAAACAAAAAAAAAAATCTGTATTTTTCGTGCTTGAAATATGAAGTCAATTCACAATAATGGTTTCTGGACAGCTGATTTTCTTGGCTAATTTTATTTAGAGACCATCAGGTGAACCAAACACTAATACATAATAATTATAAAAACAGATGATTATTAATAAAAATAATAATAAACATGATCAACTGTTTTTAATGGCTTTGTTTCTGACAGCAAACTATACCAACAGCTGATCTTCATGGGGGATTTTTTATTGGCCTTTATCTAATCTCAAACATTTTATTTGGTGTTGATTTTAGAACAACTTTATGATGATTTTTTTTTTTAAATAAAGAAGGGAACACATACAAGGATTTGAGGCAAGCTTCGTTATGCAAAGAATAATAGAGATATATTAGGGTTTTCTAATTTATCTCTTTTATTTTTCTATAAATACCTACATTTACACAAGACTTATTAAAAAACAGAAGAAAACAAAACAGATGCTTATACATGTTTAATGTAAAATGATATTTACATGTCTATAATGTATTCACAATAACTGATTTTGATATATATTAGGGTTTTCTAATTTCTCTCTTATTTTGCTATAAATAGGTACATTTACACAAGACTTGATTAACTGTCAAAGAAATGAAAAACTACTTGAATTTGATTGCACGTTTAATTTCAAAAATGTCGATGTTATTTACATTGTTATAATGTCAATTCACAATAACTGATTTGAGAACAGCTGACGCATATTTGATTTTCCTTGTTGACCTTACTAATAGGCCTTGCAATTACATTTTCATATTGTGAATTCAAATCACAATAATGTATTTTGTCAGCTTAATTGAGAAACAGCTGATCGGCTTTTGCATCCTTATTAATTAAGGTATTGATGCAATCTACAATATTTTTTATTGATTTATGTAATGAAACTGCTTGTTAAATTAAAATATTGAATGATAATCAGGATAATTTTAATTTTTTTTAAATATTTAAGATTTCGATGATAGTATTAATTATTATTATTGTGAATAGTCGTATCCGTTACAATCTGTTACATTCATCTATTCTTTTGACAAACTATTTGTCAGCATTTTAAAACGATTGTAGTCTGCATAAAAAAATGTAGTTTTTTTCTTTTTATTATTTTTTATCACCTGAGGTGCAAAATACTTTCTTTCTTGTCATTTTACCTTTTTATTTTCTTTTTACTAGTTTTTCTATTGGACAGACACACAGCAACACATTTTCTCGGTTAGTGGCCTGTTAATATAAAATAAAATTCTGACTTAATCACGTTTCTTTAACCGAATGTTAAATCTTTTGTGTCATTTGAGTGATGGTGGAGAAGAAGACGAAAGAAGAAAAAAAACATTCCACCTACAGCGACCCTATTTTTTACCCCCCAAAAGACTGACGTCATTGTTGCTGTGGGTTTCAGATTTTCTTTGACGATTTTCTGTTTTTCATTCCTCCCATACCACACCATTGAACATTTATTTATGTAGTTCAAATCAATATAGAAAAAATATTAATAATATAATTTCTAGAAGAAATAGTGGGTATTTGAGATAATGGCAAGGGGAAAATCGAAGAAAATTATAGGCTGATATTTAATCAGGATATTTTTAAAAATAAAATAATATTTTTTATTCATTTAATTCCTTTGCAATTGAAGCCAATTTATAATTCATGTGGCCAATTTAAAGTTAATTACAAAGATTCCACCTCATGTAATAGCTACTCAGTAAGTTCTCCGGGAAGGGATTTTTTCCCCATTTAGAGATATTACCTTGCACCCTATTATGTTTGAATTTTTCCTGACGTTACAGCTAAATGTTTTGAACACATTTACATTTTATGTTTAACATGTCTGTCCCTCTCCCTCTCTTCTTCCCCTTGGTTGTTGCAAAATTATTTATGTGATATAAATCAATTCTTCTCCTTCGTTCGCACTTTTACTTTTCTTTATTGTAAGTCCTTTGGCTTTCCCTCCCCATAGTGCTCTCCTTCTCTCCTTCATTTGCAAAGACTCTTTGATTTGTCATTTCCAACACATTTTAACCCAGTTTATGATAAAATGAAGACAAAACAAGAAAAAAAGAAAACAATAAGCAAAAAGTGAAAGAAGAAGCAGCATAACGTCAGTATTAAACTGCTTAGCATTAACACACCTACAATTTTTTTTGTATTTTATTTTATTTTCTGAAACTTTTCCACAACGCCAAGCGATTTTTATTTTCACAATGGCCCGTCAGACGATTATAAAGACAGGCGACAAGCGAACTAAACCGACCAACCATCCAACTATACCAGTGTTTACATAAGTTATGGTTGAAGGACTTCGCAGGAAGTTAAAATGTCAGAGAGAGAGAGAGTGGGGGTTTAGGATAATTCTATAGTTGGCCTAAATCTAAAAGTTGTTGGCTTCTTGCTTTATTACGATTTGTTTTGTTGCTAAAAAAGGAAATTCAAAGCGAAATTAAATAAAATAGGAAGGATATAAGGCTAAATAGTATTAAACACATTTAAATACTGCCATAAAAAATTGACAACATTAAAAGTCATAAATAATTGTTGTTAATTGTTAATAAAAATGTTATTTTTATGTATTTTAATGGCATATAATCAAAATATTGAAATATTATATATTGGAAATATTATAGTATCTGTTTTCATTTACTTTGCCACATGATTCATTTAAAATTTATTACATTTTGACATAACAAAGAGGTAACAGCTGGAATTCATCATATACATAGATTGTTTCAAGTAATAAGGTTATCCAGAAAGTTCAGCTGCTTTACCAGCTGGCTGTCAAAAATCGATTATTGTGAATGGATTTTACATTATAAAATCGTAAAAAAATCTAAAATATATTAATAAGGTCCCCCAGCAAAAAGAAAGTCAGCTGTTTTTTTCCCAAATCTAATGTTAAAAATGTGGACTATGTTTATGTTTTCATAAATGAAGTCAAATCACAATAATGATTGATATTCAGCAGGTTTCCCTGGATGACGTAATTAATGAGCCTTGATAACATAAAAACTTTTGACATTAAATTGGAGATAAAAACAGCTGATTTTGGAGGTCTGTGCGACCTTTTTAATAAGCCTTAGACTATGTGTTGTTTTGGGCATATTTTAAAAGGTCATCCAAAAAGATCAGCTACATATCAGCTGTTTCTCAAGTTGGCTACCAAAATCCATTATTGTGAATTGATTTCCCATTATGAAAACGAAAATAAAGTCAACATTTTTAGCATAAAATTTGATTAAAAAACAGCTATTTTTCGTTGTTTTTCTTTTCGGTGACCATATTAATAGGCCTTGGATTGTGTTTTGTTCTTTACATTTTCATACAGTGATTTTAATTCACAATAATGTATATTGACAACAATTTTGAGAAAGAGCTGATTTTCCTGGTTAAGTCATGCTTTGTTCCAGCATTCTTTTTTATAAAGTAAAACGTGCAAAAATCAAAAACAAATTTATAATACAGCAATTTTAAAAACAGATGATTTTCAATATCAATCAGCTGTTTTGTTACTGGATTAAATTTATCGATGGAAATTTTGTAAACTCTCCGTTAAAATTGCTATTTCAACTCGGATTTATTTTACTGGACATTTAGAGTTAGAGTTCTTTGGAGTTGTCGAATACGAATTCATACCCATTTTGGAATTTCCAATATATACGTATGAATAATGTTCTGTCCAAGGCCTATTAAAAAGGTAGTCCGGACCAGATGGATATTAGAGATTCTCAAGTTTGCTGTCAAAATCCATTATTGTGAATTGACTTCCATTGTGAAAACGTAAACAATGTCTTGTCAGCTGATTTTCGCTTGTTGAGTGACCTGATTAATAGATCTTGGTTCTGTCATTACATGTGTGTTTAACAGCTGTTCAAACCATATAAGCTTTTTGATTTTGTTTATCGATCTATAGACACCTTTTTTATTGAGGAGTTCTAAAATTTTTTTGTTAAAGACTTCTTTCTAAGCCCAATTTTGAGTTTATATTTTGTTTTTTTTTTTTAATATACTCGTGAAAAAGTTTTGATTTTTTGTTGTCAATGGTTTAAGTGCGCCTTTCTGTAGTATTTCATACAGGGTGTGTCAAATAATTACACCCAATTTCACATTTTAATGTCATTTTTGTTTAGTGTTTTTGAAAATATTAGAAAAATAGTTGTTATAGATGGATTTTGTTTAAGTTACATGTGAATATATATCATATTTTTAAAACACATACAATGGGTATCAAAAAATGTTAAGTGGATTTTTGTCATTTTTTAATTCTGTTAAATAATATTATATTTATTACTGTAGTTGCTCAATTAATGATTATTTTATTTTTTAAATCTATATACCCTTTTTTGATACCCACTGTATAATGTCTTAATCACATCATTACTAATGCAAACCATGCTTCATTTAATTTCAATATTAACTGTAACTGTTTTTTTTTCTTTTCCAATATATATTTTTGTGCTTCTATATCTTTTTTTATATGGTAATTTGTCAATGTTTGTTTCATCAATTGTTGTTAAATCAAAAAAATATTTGGACACATTGGATATTAAAAAAAATATATACACATTTTTAATTTCAACACTTTATGTATTTTTATTTTATATTTTTATAATAAAAAATTGTATCCAATTTGTTTGCTTTATTTCTAAATTGATGTTGTTTGTTAATTTCTTTATGTATTGAACGAAAAAAAATCGAAACAAAATTGTTATTTCAAAAAAAAATATTGAACACAAAATACAACAAAAAACAAACCAAAACCAAATATTCCAAAAAACAAAACAAAAACTAATCATAACAAGGTGGGCACTGGCACCCTACAGGAATCACTGGATATGGGTTTTCGCGAGGAAGGTGCTTTGGAATTACGCAGCTCAACGGAGGAATTGTATTTCATGGATCCACAGCATAAAAAGGAAGAGGAAGCGAAATTGCAGCAATTATTACAGCAGGTAAGTGAATGGGAAAATATTAATTAAAAATTTGGAGTTTTATTAAATAAAAATAAATAAAAAAATGGGAAAAATTTATAAATGTATTTTAAATATCAATAGGAAATATTTTATTTACCAAAAAATATTTATTCAAGTTTAAATTTAAATGCGATTCTTATATATAGAAAATCTATGTAATTTTTATTACCCAGAACAAACTTATTAATAACGTCATATTTTAAGATCAACTGTTTCTGGGTCGGTATTGTGAACTGCCTATTAAAAGCGCCAACATTGAAGATAAGCTGCTAATCAGCTGTTTCTTAAGTTTGCTGTTAAAATTTTTTTAAAGAACCCCAAATGTTCTTCGACTCATTTTTTTCTGTCTTCCACTACTTCAAGAAATGAGTAATTAAATTTCGATTTTTTTCTCTCCCCCAAAAAAAATATATTCCTTTACATTTCGTGTCCCTGAATAAACACTCGTCTTAATTTTTGTGCTACCTTCAACAAGAATCAAAAAAGAAAAACACCATTTTTTTCTCGCCTTGTTTCAATTCAATTCAGAAACTATAGACAGTAAAAAGACCTTGAGCGATACGACTAACTAACTATCCTTTGAAAATAAATAATAATAAGCAGCAGCACAACAGAGCCGAGCAGAGAGAATAGCATACCAAACTTAATTGAAAATTGTTTTATACGGCGACAAAGCCAACAACAACAATGACAATGGCAAAACAAAACAACGCCATGATGCATTGTAAAAAGGCAAGATAATCATATTATAACAGAGAGGAGAAAGTGCGGGAGAAATAGAGGGAGAGAGAGTGAGTGAGTGGCCGCCAATTCACCCCACATCTTGTTATTGAAGTGCAAAGAAAGCAAAACCAGGCTCTCCCTACATCACTGCATTGATAATGAATGAGTGGGAGTGCGGGTGTGTGTGTGGGGGAGAGAGAAGATTAAATGGCTGACAACAACGACACTACTACTACCATGGCAGCCACGTATGAAACAGATGCAATGGATTGACAGGATGCTGTTCATTGTCGCTTTGCTATTAATTTATATGGAGTCCCCCCAATACACACACACACACTATCTCTCATTGCCATGGTGGCCAGCCAATGTTACTCTTTACCCCTCTCCCCATTCTCTCACAATACGGTAACACTTTGTGTATTTGTCTCCGTGCATGCATCCTTTTGCCAATGAATATTTTAAACAAAACAAAAAAACGTAAAAACAACCAGCCAGTCCGCCATTTCGCCGTGTAGTTGTTGTGCGAAAAATGTCATAAACCAGTTAGCGAGAGTGACACACTGGAGAAAGTGAGCGGAAACCAATGAATAGTTAGTTATTCGTACACACAGATGACAGGCTGGCACTGACGGGGCAAAAACAGAAAAAAATGCAATTTTACTGTGAATATACCAATGATTTTTGAAGTGAAGTTAAATGAATTGTCAATTGTTAGTGTTGTATATACTTTACTGTGAAACGAGGGAGGGGAAAAGGGAATGAAAGGATATATTGCTATTACCAAAAATAGAAGAAATAAACACTAATTTATTAATAATATTCTGAAGGCAATTCTTAGAAATTCTCTAAGAGAGAGAGAGAGTCGTTGATTTTTTATTTTGAATATTTATCGGAAACATAATTATGATTTTTTTATATCTTCTTCCGAGTTTTAATCGATTTTTTTAGAATATTTTTAGTAAAGATTTTGACAAAGGATGAAAATATAAACAAAAATATTTAATAATTATATTTAGTCCAAAAAACTACATTTCGTGGGAATTCCTTGAAGGCTCTTTGTTACCTTTTTGGCTTGCTCTTTGAATATACATATCCCTTCTGGCTCTCTTCTCAAATAATTTTGATCGTACCTCATTGTTTTTTTCCTCTCTCACATAAATGCATATAAATCGAGTTCATGAATAACAGTATAAACTGTTGCTATTGCTTCTAACGGTGCAATATATATCGGCCGGCCGATGATGATGATGACGAGTCGCAGGCAGTCGCACTCGTATGTCTGTCGGTTTGAAGAATTTAAATGCAAAAACTGTCACAATGATATACCAATGAATGACAATTGAATGAATGAGAGAGTGAGTGAGTGGCTGAGCGAATGACTGACTGAACTGGTTTCAATGGCAAGCTGTCATTTCATGATGTGGGGAAAACTCAACTGACTGAGATGTCCGACTTTATGCATGTATTTACTGTGGTGGTGTTGTTGTTTTCGGTGTCGTTGTGACAACAATAAGAAAGGTTCTTTGTTGTATCGTATGCAAGCAACCGTTATAAGGTGACACACATTATTTTGCAAAAAGATTGGCTTGTGTGTGTGTGCTATGACACATTGAGATAGTGAAATTGAAATCACTTATCATTGGGTTGGTTGGTTGGCTGGCTGCATATACTTAATTGTCAAGTGTTGGATTATTATTGTTATTATTAATTTAATTTAATTTAATTAAAATGTATTTAAGAAGAAATAAATAAATTGTTGAGATTATTGGGAAGTAAAATATATGACATTGAGATAATGCGAAACATAGGTGATATTCGTAAAGGTGAAATTGGAAAGTTAATTATTATTACGATATGAATTTTAATTAAATTGGATTTGTATAATAAAATGAAAAAAAGAATAAGAAAGACTGAATTTAAATATAAAAGTAAAATTGTTAATTAGATATTAAATGCATTTGTTATTAAGTATTAAATATAATTAAATTTATTTTAATTTAAAATGTTAAACTTGTGGAAAATGTTGCCATGTAAAACTATAAGATTTGTTGTGGATTCTAGAAAAAAATAATAGCATAGACAATTTTCGTTGAGATGAATTCGAATTAAATAAAAACGCAAATTTTAAAATATTAGATTCTTGCATGTTCTAGAAAAAAATGAATGACCGAAATTTCAATTCGAAAAGTCTATTGGCTTAATACCATTAAATTTCTTTAGGATGAGTTTAATCAATAAATTTAAATAAAAAAGGATTGAGTTTTAATCAAAAAATCACTAGCATATCGATGACGTATGAGTACTGCCAACACTTATACACAATGTATAACCCCACAACATTTAAATATAGTACAGTATAAAATTTAAATATTAAATTTAATTTCAAATATTAAATTTTGTGGAAAATTTTGCCACGAAGATCTTCTCAAATGTTCAAAGTAAAAATTTCCACAATATAAGAATCTTTGCAGGTTCTACAAAACAAAATATGGGACAATATGGGACAAAATTTCAATTGCAAATTTCAATTAACCTAATAAAAATTAAGTTTTCCTTTAGAATGAGCTTCAATCAAAATAAACAATCAAATTTTATTTGAAATGAGCTGAAATAACTAAAAATAAAAAATTCCAACCCTATTGGTGACGTATGAGTACTGTCAACACTTATACGCAATGTTTAACCTTCAATCCCCAATACACATTTAAATATTACTTTTTTTATAATAATAATACAGTATAAGTGTTTTAAAATATTAAACTGAATTTAATTAGAAAATATTAAATGACGTGGAAAATATAGCCACAAAAAACTTGTACAGAATTTAAAATTTTCACAGAAAAAATGTCGAAATTATTAAATTTTTGGAGGTTTTTAAAAAAAAGTAATAAGCGTAAATTGAATTCGAAATTTCTATCAATGTTATTGAAAACTTTCTTTGGGATGATTTTGATTTAAAAATAACAATCAAATGTTCTGTAGAACGAGTTTGAACCGAAAAAAAATCTCAACCCTATCGATGACGTATGAGTTGTGTCAACACTTATACGCAATGTTTAACCTTAAATCCCCCAAGAACACACATTTAAATATAGTACACTACAGCTATCAGTAAAAGTATTTAAGACTGGAAAACAACAACAAAAACAAACAACAAGAACACATCGAATAAATGACAAAACAAATGTTTGTACTATTTTTAGTTAATACCTACTAAACATAGTTTTACTGAGTGAGTGAGTGACTGTCTAACTGACTGGCGGACTAGTTCGCTGGCTTGCGGGTTGGCTGGCTGTCAGGTTTAGGTTTGCTAGACTCACACACAATGTGTTCAAATACCTGGGCTATGAGTGTAAGTGGTTCCGTTCGTATTATATTACCACCAACACATTCATAAGGTGTTGTTGTTGTAAAGTATTTATTTTTCCCCTGCCTGTCCATTCAATCCAAGCAAAATAAATACCTTTGCCTGTGACATTTGAAATAGGGCAAAAGTTTATATACTTGTTGCATAATTTTAGGCTGGTGTGTATGAGGTTTTTTCTGTTTTGGGCCACTAGCCAACTGTGTCACATATAAGTTTTGTTGGGGTTTTTCTAAACTAAGCAATTATAAGATTACAATTGTTGTTGCTTTTGTTTCTTGTTTTTATTATGGAAAAGGGGTTATTTACTGTATTTTAATGACAAATCTGCAGAAGAAAAAAGAAAATAAACATGCAGCTAAATAGCTGAGAGCGCCTAAAAATAGGCTATTTTGCAATTTATGAAAAATAAACAATGAAAATAAGCTACGCCAAGGGTACAATGACCTTCATGTGGCGTATGAGTGTTAGGATGGGAATTTTAATAATTATATATACAAAATGGAGAAATTTATTACGAATTAGTAAAAATGAAAAATAAAAATAATTTACTCAGTGAAATGTAAGACAAAAAATCTATTAGATAATTATAATTTATTTTTAATTCTATATATTTAAAATATAAATAAATAAGCCTAGAATATTTATTATTGATAAAAATTTGGAAAATATATTAAACTACTCAACATAATAGTAATTTAATAAATTTATTAATAATATATTTTTACAAAATTTAATTTTTTAAGATTTTCCTATGATTTCAAAAAATAAAAATTTCAACAATTTTTTTATTTTTAGCTATGAAAATTTAAACTAATTTTTTCTACGGATTTCCTCTTTTTAGAAACTGTCTTTAAAATCTAGTGCAGAATATTGTCTCCTTTAACATCATCCCCCTTAACGGTGGTTTTAAATGAAATTTAACCACTTAATGGCATGGGTGGCGTATGAACGTGATATTATTCATACGTCATATCACTCAATCCCACCCCTCATTTTTATGCTTCAAAATAAACCTGTCACCTTTACGTCCAATTATCCAAATAAATTTTAATTATGCACCATCAGCAGCAAAAATATTCCAATACATAATTAATTAAAAATTGCAAATATTCGTAATATGCCCTTGAAACAATTTTTGCAAACGTTCAGCAATTAAATACACAAAATAAACACTTTACACACCCACTACAAACATTGATAAAACCACTTCATTTAAATTGATAGAGTTTTTACTTTTTTTCAATTGAATTTAAAAAAAAAATTTAAAACTCAAACTGTGCATTTTATTTGAGTGCATATCTGTGATATGCACTTAACCATAATATGCAGAGACATTTTTTGTTTTCAAATATTTCCAGTTGTGCTTTTATGTCTCTTGGATTTTCAATGGAATCGGTGATGTGTGTGTGTGTGTATGGGTGTGTGTATGCGTAAATCAGGAAGATTTAACATGACTATGCAAATGATTACTACCATGGAGGATATATATGTATAATAGACAACATGCTATATATGACATAAATTCCAGACACAAATAAAGTGTGTCATCAGAAGGGGGCACCACAGACAATAAGGATGATGGAAATTTTAGAAAAAATTAAATATTAATTTTAAGATTAACAATTAAAAATAGTTCAACAAAAAATCGTTGAAACTTTTTAAAAACTGACAGAAAATCAGAAAATATTCTGTCTATGTTAAATATAAAATATATATGTTCCATAACCCTAAAGGATATATCCAAACCCACATCTTTTTTTAAAGAAAAATCTGAAGCATTTGGAAATAGTTAAATAAGTTGAAATAAAAATAAAAAGGTAATCATATTTAAGGGAACCTTCCCCATTCTCGCAGTCAATTTTTTTTTATTTAATTCGAATCTACACTAATTCAAGAATGTCCCTACAAAATTTCAAGTGAAAATCTCAAGAACCCTTAAAGATATAGCCGATTTAATGTGTCAGCATCAAGTGACGGCTAAAGGGCTTCTCAAACTTTAAACGCGTTTTTCCCTTTTGCGAATGGCGGGACGATAACTCAAAAACTAATAATCCAATCGGTTCCAAATTTTGACACGTTTCTCTGGGAGTGTATAGCTCTCGTATGAACTAGGATAAAGCCAATCGATGAAGAACTTCCTTATTTTTTAACTTAGTTTGTGGTAAAAAAAAAATTCAAAGTTCCGCCATTTTGTTAATTGTTGTGCGAAGTGAAATAAAAATAAACGAGAGGTAATTAAATTCTAACACCGTTGGAATTTTCGGATTCCGATGTTCCAGTGAGGAGTTAGCATGCCCGCCATAAAAAATAAGGACTTTTCTTTGATCACAAAAAACAACAACAACAATTGTTTTGTAAATTATTTTTCTTTCTTTTTAAATCTTCAAATATATATGTGCAAAGTTACAAACCTTAACAAGCATTGGTATTCATTTACCAGCCCATTTAAAATCTTAAAAATAAAAAATCGTGAATGGTGGGGGGGGGGGGGGGGTTTCCTTAATGCAGGTTTATAATGCGTATGAGTACCGATGCTAAATATACACAAGAGGTTCTATGTATTTAAAAAACGAACTATGGTGCGTATGAGTATTGTCGCTATGTATACGCAACAGGTTCCACTTAAATACAAGGTCATATTGACCCGATTTTTCATATTGGCCCGATTTTTCAAATATAAATAAAAATATCATCTCTAAAGTTTCTCCCGTTTAAAATATAATTTCGATTGTATCAAGAAAAAATTTCAGCCACTTTGAATATTCTTATTGAATGTAGAACAAAATAAACTATGATAAATCGGAATTTATGAATGATAAATCGGAAATACGTATAATTTATGTTAATTGCTCGAACTATGTTGCGTATGAGTATTGACACAATGTATTCGCAAAAGGTTGCATTTGATTTACTTGGAAATATTGGACTAAATAATATTCTTTTATTTTTGATAGAAATGAATAAAAATGTTGCACTAGTAAACCTACACAAAATATACTTCCCGAAAAAAGACTTATCCATTTTCCCTCCTTAAATACATTTAATGCATCAAGAAACCTGTATTACCCTTTTTCAGAGTATTGCTATTATTGTTAGCCATTCAGAAATATTATCATTGTATATCTTGTCGTCTATACAATTTTATTGCAATTTTTTTCCCACAAGTCATATTCTATTACTCATACGTTGAATGAACGAAGCGAAACGAACTCAACTCTAATTAAAAAATCTATGTTGCCATGGACATAATATGTATGATAGATAGTGTGTGTGTGAGTTTGTGTGTACATTTTTAATTACAAAATTTTTACTAACTTCAAGTTGGGAGCAAACAATTGTATCAGAGATATGAATAGGGAAAGAAAAGAAATACAATAGGTAACATTTGGAAAATAGGGCGTATTAGTATTATCAACACTCATACGCCATTGCGTAGCAGTATTTAGTTATTACTAATTTTATATATGAAATATATATATATTTAAATGATATGTTTTATATTTTGTTTATAATATTTTTATTGAATTATCTTTGCAACAAATTTAATTTATTTACGAAAATAAAAAAACTTTCAGTTAAAAGAAGTTCTGGAGGTGGGTTCATAATGTTTTTAAAAATATAAGTTAATAAACCCAATATACTTCATAAGAACTAGTAATATAGATCTCCTTGTAGTATGAAGTTGAGAAATAAAAAATCCTACCTTAAAGGTCCAACAAAATAAATACAAAGTAATCCTAAAAAAATATATTGCTCTAAGCCAATAATGTAATAATTCCATAGAATAAATATTAAAAAAAATATTCCTTACATTAAAATATATTATTTAAAATTAAAATCACATTTTTATAAATTAATTAATTTCATATTTTATCTCTTTCCCATTCCTCTACTCTCTCACCAACAGGCGAAACGTTCATCACCGCACATGTTTAAATTGGAAGATCACCAGCAAACCTATTTGCAACAACATCAACGCAAAGATTCCGCCAGCTCTGAGGTAGCCGCTCTCCTTTGCATTTCTGGACGCACTAGTCGTATTTCCAGTGTCGGCAGTCAGGGCTCGGCCGTAAGTCGCCTATCCGCCGTATCGGGCGTCTCCCGATCCCCCTCACCCCATCGTATGCTACTCGAAACATCATTTTGTGGTCCAAAACCTGTTGAGACTGTTATTGGTGTTAGTATCGGTTCGGTGGCCGATCATCCAGCGACAGCGTTACTCGAACAAGTGCTGCTCGCCCGAAATCAAGACACCACCCAGGCTATATTAGCCGAGGGTATACAATTGGAATCGTCACCGAAACGCCGGCCACCCACATCTCTGACCAACGGCGATGCCAAGCTGACGGCCAAGATCAAGGCCCAAAATCAACCGGAAACACGCGATGTCAATGAAATCTCCGTGATGGGCGCTCAGCGTGCCTCCACCAAAAGTCCCGGTCAAATGATTGTCGGTAAGACTCCCAGCGGTACCGAGTACATACGTATTAACCTTAAACCCGATCACATGTACGATGATCAGGGTATTGCGCCCCATGAGAAAATTGTAGATGCCCCCGATTCGCTAGTTCCCCCGTATGCTCGTTCTCAAACAAAACCTGCCTCTCTGTGTCTAACACAAAAATCTAAAGGAGATAATCTTTTAACACCCACAGTGAGTCCCAAGCCTTCACGCAAATCCAAGGACCATGGTAGTCGTTCGCCTTCACCTGCTACCGTATCGGTTTCCAGGAAATCCTCGTTCAGTTCGTTATTCCGCTTCGGCGGCGGTGGTGGCAAGGATTCGCCCGACTCGCCACGCGATCGTGCCAGGCCACGCAGTAAAAGTAAAGAACGTGGTCAGACGCCCCAGTCTCAGAACCCCACTCCAAACAAGCAGAAATCCGTACTGGCCATATTTAAGCCCGGAAAACGTGGTAGCTCTGCGGGAGCCGAGAGCACCCGGGCATCCAAATCATCTTCTCCGGTGGACTCGCATGAAATGCAACAACTACAGCCGAGGAGTAAATCCCAAACACCTGTCGTCTCGGCCAGTGGTTCAAGGCCTAACAGTCGCCTCCGCTACTACGACGACCCGGTGGATGGTTACATACACATACCGCTGCATACCCCACCCGAAGAAAAAGAAGCACGCAAAATATTCCAGAACATTGAAAGCCTTAATAAACCTGCGCCAGTTATGGCGGAGCCGCCCATAAAACCGCCTCCCCAGGCCACGGCCATTACGATGAGCGATCTACAGGCCGCCGTTAAAAATCTCAAACCAGTAGGGGCCCGAAAAAACTCGATTACGGGGGCACATGTGCCCCCGCCCCCTCCTCCACCGCCACCACCAGCCAAGGTTGTGGTAGCCCAACAGCAAAACAGACAGATTCAGCCGAAGCAGCAGCACCGAACTCCAGCGGCTCCTCTTAAACACATCGAGAACTTGGACGCCATTCACTCCCTCTCTCAGGACGATGAGAACAAGGAGCGCAACTGGAGTCTGGAGGTAAATCGTCACAGTTCTCAAGACTCTCAGGAGACTGTCGGCTCGGGTGAAAGCTATGCCAGTGCCATACGGGTGGTGACCACCCAGAAACCCCAGCTGGCCGAAGTCAAGGAGCATGTCGTGCAAGAGAATGGCGTGGAAGCCGAAATCCATCGCCTGCCCTCAGTGGAAAGTACAACTAGTGCGGCCGAAGTAAGGGTAGTCGAAACCAAGGCCACCATCAACAGTGCCGGCATGCTCGAAGGTGATGCCAACACCAAGGAGAGGCGTAAGATCCTATTCACCACCCGCCTGGGAAGCGGAAGCCAAGATCAGGTATTCGCCACCCAGTTCAGCATATCGAAGACGGACAGTGTCTCCAGCCACATGTCCGAAAATACCCAAGACACACTGTCCGCCGAGTCCACCAATGACAATTTACGTCGTCAAAATACGGTCATCAAGAAGTCACGCGAGGAAGTCAGTGACGCAGCCGTTCCTCTAAGCCGAAAGGAATCCTTCACCATGGAACGCAAAGATTCCTTGAAAATGTCTCGCAAAGATTCCTTCAAAATGGAACGCCCCTCGGAGCCACCCAGAACTGTGGAACGTAAAGAATCATTTAAATTGGAACGCAAGGAGTCCTTCAAGAAGTCTCCCCAGGCCATAGCACAAATCGAAGAGCAGCGGGAAATCATTAAGAAGTCCGAGACGAGAGATTCCCTAAAGAAACAGGACTCCCATGAGCGCTTCATGGCGACACGCAAGAAGTCCGTATCCACATCGGAGGATGAAGCAAAGCGGCGTTCCAGTTCCTCGACTGGACCACCAGTTGTTCTGAGACGCAAACCCTCCGCCGGTGAGGAATTTGCCAAGGCGCATCAGTCACGTTCCACATCGGAAGATGACAACGAGGTGGCCATGGCCAATCATCGGCATTCGCGCTACTTGGAAAGTTTTGATGTGCGCAAGAAGTACCATGAGAATGTGCAGGGTCCACCAGTTCCACGCAAACCCCGAAGACAAAGTGGCGGTGGTGGCCCAGATGCCAACCCACCTGAAACCTCAACTATACAAACCTCCCAGGAGCAAACCAAAGAGCAATATCAACGTAAACCACAACCACAGCTGCCTCAACCTCCGCCACCCTCTACAGATCCCACACCACTACCCTCACCCTCGCTTAGAGAAATGGAAAATGCCACACCAACACCGTCTGGGCAACAGAAGAGTGAGCCTCGTTCCCAGTCCCAATCGCCTGTAGATAAAGCCCGACAAACACCTCCCAAGCCGCCGCGGACTTCGACGCCTACTCGTCGTTCACAGGCTGCTTCGCCCACAAAAACATCCTCCTCGTCTGTTCCTACTTCATCGGCGGCGGCAGTGAGCCAAGTGGGTTCTGGTACTCCTATCAAAAAGCCATATTCGCACATCGATAGACAATCAGTTCACTCTACCGATGAACCTGTCGAGTCTTCGGAGTCGGAACGTGACTCAGATTTGGCGGCGGCTGAATTGAAACGACGTCACCTTTCCCTAAATGTGGGCTGTATTGAAGATCACGAAAGCACTGGTCTGGTGTCACAGGAATCGTTTGACGATGAGCTTCCCTATATACCCACAAATCTGCCCGAGGAGAAGGCCCAGCCTGTGTCGCTGATACCCATGAAGGATCGGGCCAATATGGAATTGAAAACCTGTCCAGTGGAGAGACCACGTTCCACCACACCACTCAATCCTTCGCATCTGGAGGAGTATTGTGGCATTGTGAATACACCCGATGCAATGCACGACTTTCCAGGTTCGGCACCGGTTCGTGGGGAAAAGTTGAGGATCAGTTTGCCACGTAAGGATTCCAAAAAGGATATACAAAGTAGTAAATCACCACGACGTGTCTCCAATGCCAGTGGGAAGTCATGGTTTGAGTTTGCCGAGGAAGGTCTGCGTGCCACGACTGCCCACTTGGAACGCAGAGATTCGAATAAACAGCTGATGCAGCAGAAACCGCCAACTACAGTGGCGGCCAGAGAGCCAACACAACCACCTACCAAACCCAAACAAGAGGTAACAAAACCCAAAACTCCAACCACCAAACCTAGAACTCCGACACAAAGAAAACTTTCCGGTCATTGGATTGACTTTGAAAATATTCCAGAAAAACGAAAAGCACCCAAGAAAATAACCACCTTGCCACGGGACAGTAGCAGTGTAAAAGCCTCCAACACCACCTCGTCCACCCTAACACAGTCAAGGTCCACAACGCATGGGAAGAGTTTGGCCGCGGCGGGTGATGCAGCATTTAAGACCCAGCAAGCTTTTGAGGTACCCAAGACACAAACATCCGATGCTGTTGTTGCTGCCAACGCTGCAGCTTCCCCCGGAAGTCGTTCAACGGTAACAACCGATGGAGCTGGCACACCTCATTATGATTATGTCAAACCAGAAGACTGTCAATGTGAATGTCATGAATCGGGAAAGGGAAAGGAAATGTCAACAACAACCACAACTGGGTGTGCAGAGAGTGGTGTAGCGTCATCAACGTGTGCGGGTAAAGTTGGTAACACTGCTGCAGCGAGTGGTAAACCTCAACAACAACAGGGTGTAGATCTTTTGCAACAGGGTGCCGATGATATGCTGCCGTTATTGAGTCAAGATTCTCACGATGGCATTGAACCAAGGTGAGTTTTGAAGAGTGGAGAGAATTGTTTAAATGAAATGTAAATATTTAGAGATCATTTTTTTGGTTTTGTTTAGAGGCCAAATGCTAGAAGAAATAGGCAATAGTTTTATTAATAAAACAATAAATTTTATAGGAAACAATTGCACAGTTTTAAATATTTAATTTATTGAAAATTTATAGATAAATAACAAATCTATATTTAAATTCAATTATTTGAAATCAATCTTATAAAGTTCTAGAAACAGAAGATTTTAAGTACAAAAAATAATCATAACAGAACAGTTTATCACTTAATAGAACAAATGTAAACATACTCTAACAGAGTCTTCACTGAGGGGATCTATAGGTCGATTTAGTACTAATTAACAAAACAGTGGCTATTAATAAGGTCCTCGAGGGAGGCCAATACTAAAATTCAAGTTTTGAAGATCAATCACAATAAATACTCCAATTAAATCACAATGGAAGATGTAGAGAAGTAATATTAGAAATGAGAAATTAAATGAATTAAATCACAATAACATATTAATGACAGTATTTATTCACAATAGGTTGTCCATATTTTAGTCTTTAAAAATGTTTGATTTGAAATATTTTTTTGTACAGAATAACTATTAATATTATATTGCAATTTCTTATTATTGATTTTTTGCTTAAATTATTTATCTAATAACAAATAATTTTATCTTTTCTTAGAATAACAAAAGTTTGTTACAATAATGCCGTAAATATTTAAACACAGAAAAAAATGTAACAAACAAATTAAAGCAATTTTCATTAAATATTGCTTTAAAAGCGATTATTGCAAAAGGTATTTGATAAAGTTTTGAAAACAAAAAATCACTTTTTTTAATAACTACACAATTCTAATATTAAAGTAGTTTTATACACCAGTAAACACCTTTTGAGATTTCCTTTTCATATACACCTTTTTTATAACAAAAATAATTAGCAATACACTCAATTAAAATTTTCTACACCTTTTGCAAAAAACAAAATTATTATGTAGTCTTTTTTCTTAAATACAAAGTTTAAAAATAAAACCAGTAAGGAAAGTAGTAAAGTCGGACGGGGCCGACTATATTTTACCCTTCACCACTATGGGTATATTAAACAAGACTATTAAAAATTGATGAAATAAAATATGTGATAGTTATCTAAATATGAATCTACCTAGATCTATCCATAAAGTATGTAAATCGACTTCAAACAAATATAAATAGGTCATCCGTTGGGCTATGTCTGTACTTCTAGAAAACGCAACAACGTAATTCTATGTTCAATTTTTCAAGTTGTGCAAACTTTGATGTCAATCTGACTAACATGAGGAGTTTGATGTCCAATTTACTTGAAATCGGGCGAAAATATGTATGGAAGCTCTATTCAAATATTAAGCGATTTCAAACAAACTTATCACAGGTTAGGTTATACTAATTTCAGAACGTTGTGTTCCTATCAGCTTATTGGATCCTTGCTGCGTCAATTACTTATAATCAATCTATAATAAAAGGGAGCTATATCTAAATCTGGACCGATTTTCAGTACGTTATGCCAAACTTCGTGCAAATCGAAAGATATATAGAGACTTTGGTGAACCATTTACATGAAATCGGACGAAACTATATATGGGAGCTATATAGAAATCTGGACCGGTTTTCTCGAAACTTGGCAGACATACATTCTAGACTAAATTCAGTACGTTATGCCAAATTTCGTGCAAATCGAAAGATATATAGAGACTTTGGTGAATCATTTACATGAAATCGGACGAAACTATATATGGGAGCTATATAGAAATCTGGACCGATTTGCTCGAAACATGGCAGATATCTTTCTAGGCTCAATTCAGTACGTTATGCCAAATTTCGTGCAAATCGAAAGATATATAGGGACTTTGGTGCACCATTTACATGAAATCGGACGAAACTATACATCGAGCTATATCTAAATCTAGACCGATTTTCTCGAAACTTGGCAGACATCATTATAGGCTCAATTCAATACGTTATGCCAAATTTCGTGCAAATCGAAAGATATATAGGGACTTTGGTGCACCATTTACATGAAATCGGACGAAACTATATATGGGAGCTATATCTTAATCTTGACCGATTTTCACGAAACTTGGCAGACATTATTCTAGACTCATTTCAATATGTTATGCCAAATTTCGTGCAAATCGAATGATATATAGGGACTTTGGTGCACCATTTACATGAAATCGGACGAAACTATATATAGGAGCTATATATAAATCTGGACCGATTTTCTCGAAACTTGGCAGACATCATTCTATGCTCAATTCAGTACGTTATGCCAAATTTCGTGCAAATCGAAAGATATATAGCGACTTTGGTGCATCATTTACATGAAATCGGACGAAACTATATATGAGAGCTATATCTAAATCTGGACCGATTTTCTTGGAACTTGGCAGACATCTTTCTAGGCTCAATTCAGTACGTTATGCCAAATTTCGTGCAAATCGAAAGATATATAGCGACTTTGGTGCACCATTTACTTGAAATCGGACGAAACTATATATGGGAGCTATATCTAAATCTGGGCCGATTTTCACGAAACTTGGCACACATCATTCTAGACCTATATGATTAGGCTGTACCAAATTTCGTGCAAATCCAAAGATATATAGGGACCGTTTACATTAAATCGGTTAAATATATATATGGGAGCTATATCTAAATCTGAACCGATTTTTCCCAATTTCAATAGGGTTCGTCCTTGGGCCAAATAAGTGACCTGTGCCAAATTTCATTCAAATCGGATCATAAATGCGACCTGTACTTTGTTTACAATTTAACATCTACAGACGGACGGACGGACGGACGGACGGACATGCATAAATCGACTCAGAAAGTGATTCTATGCATATTCTCAAAAGGAACCATGTGTCTATCTCGTTTCCTTTTGCCTGTTACAAACATATGCACAAAGACATAATACCCTGTACCACAGAGTGGTGAAGGGTATAATGAAGAAGCTATGTCCTTTTTGTAGATTTTGTTTAACTCTAATATTAATAAAAAGAATTTCAATAATTACTTAAAATGCATTTACATCAAATATTTGAAATTATTTTGATTTGAATAAAAAATAGAATAAATAATAATTTGAATAAAAAATTAGAATATAACTTTAAAGTAGAATTAGTTATGACATAACCATAAAGCCATTAGGCCATATCAATCAGCTGATCGAACTAAACCTATGGAAATCAATGTATTCGACTGCTAATTTATTGCAATTAATTTGCCATTGGATAGAAAGAAGATGAGAACTTAAATGTCATAACTAATTCTACCATTAATCGTGATAATGTTCATTACCTCTATTTAATTGCTAAAGTGAGCTTAATTTACCTCGATTTACCATACAAATCTAATTCCACTCAATATAACGATTTGCTCGAAATCCTATGCCAAATCGAGATAATTTCAAATACAACTCTGCTTTTGCGCCAAAAATAATTGATTCTCCCAAAAGTATGCTTCAAAATACATTGAAATTCAAAATTGTTCCCTAATAAAAAATATGGCAGCTACAGATACCTGGATTACTTTAGAAGGCATAGTCTAAAGTCGGCATCAGCTGAAAATCTGAGAAAACAGAGTTGCATTTCTTCTAATTTAATTTTATTTGGATATAGCCATCCAGATAGATCAGATGTTTCTCAGGATTGATGTAAATGCAATTTAAAAAATAATTGTATCACTTTTATGTTATCAACACATTTTTTAAGTACAAAAAACTGTTCCCAAAAAAGCAAAGTTTTAAAATTTGAGCAGACCTCGCATTTCATAATTCATATTATTAATACTTTCTATATTCTATTCTATTTTTTTTATTAATTTCCTGCTTGATTAAAATAATTTTCTTAGTAAAAAAAAATAGTTTTTATTAAAAATTTTAATCATTATTAATATCTTTAATTAATTCTTGTTTACTCACATATTTTTCAGTGACTCATCACGAGAATTTAGCTGCTATACAGATGATGAAATGGATTTGCCCACACGTAGTTCTAGTCGTTCCAAAAGTAGTTCTTCAAAGGTAAATACCTTCATTAAATCTCCTACAAAATTCGAAGATTTAATTTTTTTCTTTTTATTTCATTTTACATGATTTTGTAGGTGGATGAATTTCCCCGTCGTGATGTCCCAGCTCACAATGTTAGACATAAGAAATTTCCCGATAAATAAAATGCATGTCGAATAAAAAACGAAGATAAATCATTATGAGGAAGTGCTAAGCTAATGTTCCAGTTCTCTAAACAAAAAATAAAATAATAGAAAATTACTATCAAAGTCTATTGATAAGGCCATCCCGAAAAACAGCTGTTTCTCTTTCAAGCTAAATGTCAAAAATTGGGCCGTTGCGTTAAGTTTTAATAATGTGAAGTTAATTCACAATAATACACATTTACAATAACTGAACAGCTGATATGCAGCTGATCATTTTTGGATTGCCTATTTAGAAGGTCTTGCAATTATTATAAAGGCATGTTAATAAGGTCTTCCAAGAAGACTAGCTGCATATCAGCAGCTTCTTAAGTTTGCTGTCAAAATCTATTATTGTGAATTGTTTCACATTATAAAGACGTAAACAAAGTAAAAGTTTTTTACATTAAACTTAAGAAAAGGCTTTTTGCATTCTGGAAGGTCTTGTAAATAAGCCTTGCTTATTATTATCCAAAATCTATTAATAAGGTCAGCATGCAAGCGAAAGTCAGCTGTTCTTTTTCTCAAGTCTAATGTCAAAAATTTGGACTTTGTTTACGTTTTCATAATGGAAGTCTATTAACAATAATGGATTTTGACAGGAAACATGAGAAGCAGCTGATATCCAGTTGGTTTTCCTGGCGGGCCTTAATAACAGAACTTGCTTATTATTATAAAGGCATATAAATAAGATCAGCTGTTTCCCAAGATTGCTGTCAAAATCCATTATTGTAAATTGCTTCACATTATGAAAACGTAAAGAAAGTCAAAATTTTTGACATTTCATTTGAAAACAGACATCTGTTATTCGCTTTCTTGGTTACCTCATTAATAGGCCATTATTAAAGCTACTTGTACAGGGGGGTGGTATTTATTTTTATGTTCTAAAATTTAGTTTCTTTAGCAAGATCTATTAATAAGGTCACCCAGTAATGCCAACAATTTGAACTTTGTTTATTTGTCGTAATGGAAGTCAATTCACAATAATGTATTTTGACAGCCAACTTGAGAAACAGCTAGTCTCCTTGGATGACCTTTTTAATAGGCCTTGTTCTTTAGTAGGAAAAAATACTTTGGCATACTTTTAGGAGCATGTTTAAATAAGCAGTGGTTTACATTAGGCAATTTTGTGATTTATTGGCACAACCCTTTAATATAGTTAAAGGGTTGTGGCAACACATCAATTCTCACTCAGCAAATTAATAGATTGTCTCATGATAACATTTATATATTTTTTATTTATGATTTTCTTCATAGCTATTACAAAAAATAGACGAGTTTATAGAGAATCAGGGATATTTGTTTTTGTTATTTCTGGAAAATATTTTTTTAATAGCCTTTCTAACAAATAATCATTTTTTTTATGCTAATGATAATAGGAAATAGGAACTGAGTTGTTACTGTATCTCTCTTTTGTGTCTTCAAAAAATAAAACAGAAAAAGGAATGAAAAAAGAAACAAAGTAAAACAAAATAAAACTAAACTGCCATCATTATGGTACATTGAACTACAAACATATTGACATACATAGAAAACAAAAAAGAAAAAAAAAACATTTAAGAAAATTGCTAACAAAAAGGAAAAAGCATAAAAAATTAACAAAAACACATATATTACATACAAACATACATCTAACTAACAGAGCCATATGAGAGAAGAAAATCTACGATATGCCCGAGAAACTATAGCAATACAAACTAAACAACATACATGCAAACATAAATACATATATACAAAAAACAATGCATACTATTATATAAAACATATATATTTAACAAAACAAACTATATACATACATATAAACACAATAAAACATTAGACTTAACAAACAAATATCAATAAAAATAATATTTAATTCTTAAAAAAATAGATGTATTTTGAAACCCCCTTTTTTGTATGTGTGTCATCCATTCCCCTTTTGAGAAGTCTCTTAATTTTTCTTAAATAAAAAAATCTATTTTATTTCATTAAAAAATTTCATTAAACATATAACAATGATGAAATGCTCATGCAAAACATGCCTCTTTAGATAGTGAAAACACCCAAAGTGCAGCAGACATTCAAGCGAAAAACCAAAAGAAAATCACTACAACAACCTATAAACTATATATTAATATAGAACAGCAAAATTTATATACAAAAAAACAAAAACTAGAAAAATCATGTTACATTTTCACTATACCTATACACCTACTTACATATTGTATATTAGCTTTAAGTTAGTTTAATAAAATTTCAAAAAAATAAAATGAAATTTACTTTGTCCAAAGTGGCAACTCTTTTCAAGAAGAAGAAGATGAAAAAGAAAATAGAACTCTAGGCAACACACAATAACTAAAAACAAACACAAAATAATTTGTATTTAAATTAAAGTAATTAATAATAATAAATAACTTATATTCTAAATGTTTATGAACTTAGAAAGAAAGATTACAATAACAGAAAAAATAATTGTTAATATTAATTTTTTATTAAATTTTCTCTCTACATATTTTCATTCTTGTTATTCTTATTATCCTTGTAATTGGCAAGTGAATTAGTTGATTTAGAAATTTAAAAAAATAAACTTTAGATATAAATTTCAAATCATATTTTTTTATTTAAAATTATATTGTAATAAAATTTTTCCTCCAGGAACCCTAATAGCATAATCCACTTAAAGATAATTTTTATTTATTTAGTTCATTTTTCTTGCCAATATCCTTAACAAATTTGCTTAGGAATGCTAATTTTTAAAAATTCCATTAAAATATTCATCATGCAAACATTGCAGTTGACAAGATAATGAAGTTCCCTATAAGCCGTTCAAAACTTTAAGCTAAAATTGGTTATGTCTTAACCATAAAGCCATAATGCCGTATCAATCAGCTGATGGACTTTGTTTACATTTTCATAATGTGATTCAATTCACAATAATGGATTTTGACAGCAAACTTAAGTGGCAGCTGATATCCAGTTGGTCTCCCTGGACGACCTTTTTTATAGGCCTTGATTTCCATAGGTGTGGTTCTATCAGCTGATTTATATGGCTTTATGATTACATAACCATGGCACAATGAATAGGTAGTCCATTTAGCGCAGCTGATGTCTTGATTAACTGTCAAAGTGGGTAATTTCTACTTGAATTCGTTGTGCAGTGTTGCCAACCATTTGAAATATTATATGAAAACATTTGACAGATAATCGAGACAAAAACAAAGGTTGTTGTTGTGATACATCACCTTATTATTGCATCATGGATTACATAACCATAACTAATTCTACGTATATTTGAAAATACAAAGTATTTTGGCAGTTCCAAATACGATCAGCTGTTCTTCTTGGTTAGCCTTATGATTAGATCTTTATTGATCCGTTTTTATTGAAAATGTCTTCTTTCTATCCTAAAATTATGATCTTATCATTTAATAATTAGAAGTGCTATATTGATTCAGTTCTCCAAGTGTGCTTTCATACAATTTATTAAAAATATAAAGCAAGATCTATTAATAAGCTCACATAGCAGTTAAAGTCAGCTGTTTATTTTCGAGTCTTATGTCAAAAGTTTTTTTTAATAATAGATGAATACGTTTTGATAATGAAAATCGATTCACAATAATGGTTTTTGACAGCAATTTTGAGATACAGCTGATATCCAGCTACCCCACCCTAGAAGACCTTATTAATAGGCATTGAAAAAAAGCATTTTGACAGCTCAAAGGAAGATCAGCTGTTATTCGTGCATGGCTTTATGAATGGGCCTTTGCTCAGTTTTTAATTTATGGCGATTTTTTCAACTTTCCCCAGGAGTTCAAATAGCTTCCTCATAGGTTTAAAAAAAAACAAAATTGTTTATTTTTTCCTTCGATTATTTGAAAATACGAAGCATTTTGAAAAAATCGAAGAAGATCAGATATTGCATGACCTTATAAATAATATATAAAAATATGAAGCATTTTGAGATCATGAACGAAGATTAGATAATGCATGAATTATAAATGGACCCTTTGTGAATAGGACCTAACATGGTTAATGAAAACATTGTCTAATAATAAAGTCACCAAGGGAAACCTGATTCTGAAGTTTGCCGTCAAAATGCGTTATTGTGAATAAATTCATATCATATCATATTGTGAATACGTAAATAACATCAAAATTTTTGACATTTAACTTGAGAAAAACATCTGTTTTGCGATTTTGATAGATACCTGGGTGACCTTATTAATATAACTTGAATGAAAACATGTAAAGGCGCCTTTAGACTATTAAGGTGTTTTTATTACTAAATCCACTCGATATACGCTTTGGAATTGCCCTTTGAGATCGAATGGATTTCGTAAATCTAAAATCTACTTTATGCCTTCTAAATCAACTCGATTTCTAAACCATGATACTATATCCTATATATGTACACTAGTATTAAAATTATGTAAGGTAAGGATATAATTCTAATAATGATTCCTTACCTCCTTATTAAAGGACATATAAACATGTGTTGTTTGAAAATCGTTTAATGATTTGTTTTGACTATGTCACCTAGATCGATTCGATTTCTATAACGAGGTACAAAATTCTTTCTGTTTAGACTAGTTTTAACATGATATAAGGTTGACAGTCAGCTGATATTTGTTTACGTATACATACACATTTTGAATTCCACGTAGCTGGACAATATTTTCATAATTCTAGTAAGAATTTCTACCCTTCTTGTGAGATTTGCACAAAAGCTGTGTTGTTTTAAAATCGTTCAAATGGCTCGTTTATACTATGCCTCTTATAGCGTCTGTTTAGACTAGTAGTGTTACAAAGTTCGCAGTCAGCTGTTGTTTGTTTACATATTTCACTGCTTTCATAATTTCATCGTGGTAATTTTTCAGTCAATATTTTTATATGTATTTATATTTTATATGTATTAGGGTTCATTATTAACCTATTATAATTTCTCTCTAAATATTACTTTTTTTATTATATCCCAAAAACCTTGGATGCCTCTAGAAATAAAA